CGGTATGGGATGAGCAAGTTTCTAATTGCTGAAAGGATGAGATGATTACCCCTATGAATTAGTAGCCAGGTTTCGAATTTCTTGCATGCATGACACATGCTTGCTACATGCATGCTGTTACTTGTATTCTTAACAGGCTACATCCAAGAATGCTGATGACCTAATTACCTCTCCCTCATAAAACAAAATAAAATAAAACAGAACAAAACAAAAAAAGAGTGCTGATGATGGCTGCCGATTGGCTAATGCATAGGTGTAGGCTGGATTTTGTAGTCTTTCTGGAATTTCTTTTGATGATGATGGTGATCGCTGTTGTATGTTGAGTGTTTACTACATACATGCCAGACACTGTGCTACATGCTTTACATATGCTTTATAAATCTTTTGTTTCATTGAAGCACAATATTGTGTCAATTTCATATGCTTTTAACTTTAATCCTTACACAGTAGACTGTACTGTTATGCCCACTTTACAGATTAGGATGTCTGCCTGAGAACACATAGTAAATGCAGAGTTGGGATTCATCTGAGATTTGACCCCAGATCTACCTAATTCTGGAACAGAAGCTCTTATTTACTACATTATAATCCTGCAGGCTTGTTAAGTGTTGCATTTTAATGGATATAATTCTCAGTGGTCACATTGTGTGGGAGTGAGGGGCAGATTGCTGGTCTCTTGAGGACATGCTAAGGATCTTGGTTTCCTCATGGGGCTATAGGAAGAGGAAAGGCAAGCGCTAACCCTGAGCTTGGAGCTAGAACAGCAGCGGTGCCGGGCCCTGCAGGACGAACGGGATGAGGCTCGGGCTGGGCAACTCAGTGAGCGTCGACAGTTGGAGACCCTTCAGGTGGCCCTAGAAGAAGAGCGGCAGACCCGGGCCCAGCAAGAGCATCAGCTTAAGGGACGCTACCAGGCACTACAGGAGGAGAGCCAGGCTCAGCTGGAAAGGGAGAAGGTAAAAGCGGCAGTTGGAGAATGGGGAACAGGTTAGGGACAAAATAATTGAATGAGGTGGATGTCAGAATATGTGGCACAGGGACTGGGATGGAGAGGGAAGAACTGTATGTGGGAGAGAAGATTGAGAGTATAGGGCCTGCAGGAAGGGCTGGGGCATCAAATGCATGGGAGGACGAAGGGTGAGATTAAACAGAGATATCAGGAAATAGGTCAAATGTGAAGAGAGAGGAGGCTTGGGTTTTAGGGTTTGGAAGGATGAATCAGGGAATTGAGGTAACCAGGAGACAGGAAATGAGGTACGAACTTCAGTTTGATTTCCCTTTCTTAGGA